AAACCTTGATAGAAAGAAATATAATTGAATAAAAGTGAAGGGAGAAATAATGAGAAATTTGGAAAAGATATATATGTGCTTAAATGGAAATGTGATAATGTGGAACTACGCCTTAAAAAATAATGTTTTATTTGCCTTGTTAAAACTTATAAGTAATTTTTTAGAAAGGAGGTTTTATGCTTTTATGTCCTATGTTTTGTTTGTCTTTAAAAAATCAATAAAATTTGTTCAAAAAAAATAAAAGAAATAAATTAAGGAATTAATTGCTTCCTTAGACAAAGCAAACAAAATTTGAGAATCGTCAACAACAAGCAGCTGAAAAATTGCTTAAAAAGGCTTCCAAAGAAATATACCGACTGCGTGGTCAAAATCAAAAGGAACCTCTTCAGGTGCAGACTTTCCGGTAAACTATTAAGAATGGTTTAAAATATTTTGAAACTATTTAAGCTGATAGTTAATGTCATAATTTAAAAGAGCATACATTTTATTTCTCCTACACGTACTATTTCTTTCTTTCTGATCATAGACTTCATGGAATAAAAAGTGAAAATGAACAGTTAAAAGATTTTTCATTTATAGTCTGAAGTGATAAAACCGAAATATGAGTTACCACTTGATTGATCACTAGGCTTGAGAAAAATTACAGGCTTTTCCTTAATTGTCTTAAACTTTTAGAATACAACTCTTTTATCAGACATGGTACACTTTCACATTTGACCTGCTATGCATCTGCTTTTAGATATAAGCAGATAGGTTATGTAAAATCAAATCCATGTCTGTAAGTACTAATGAATCTAAAATTTTTGAAGTACATATTTGGCTAATGATATTTTTATATAAACAAAGAATGTATACATATGCGCACACACAAACTTTCTATATTTATGTTCTATGTTACATGATATTTTTTTCTGTAACAATACAATCAGATACTTTAGGCTCAGGCTAACTGATTAACTGCATGATCCTGAGTCACCCAAGGAGGGGAAATGTAATATCAGGCCATTCCTGCTCTTAGTTCTATACTAAATCTCCTGGTTTTCATACATGCATATATTTGTACACACACCCAGATAAAGATAAACCATAAAAAATAAATGTAGAGAGGGGATTTGAGGATTTGAAATCTGATTTAATTTTTTCATCTTGTCTGAATTTGTGGAGGTCTCATAGATTATGCTTTATTATGCAAATACATTTGGTGCAGTTTCTAAGGTAATTAAGATAGCATCCAGTGGGACTATGCAAATATGGGGATGATTGAGGACATCCAAACACCTGTTTATAAATTTTTCTAGTCTTATGTTGCTACTTTAGGAGTTGGTTTCGGGTGAATGAAGTAATATTGTGCTTGTTTATTTGTTAAATGGGTTAAACTATGAAATAATTGTACAATATTTTTCCCACATGTGAAGGGAGAAGATGGCATTCTTTACAAGGCCGAGGATCAACGTCCCACCTCTGCCAGCTGATGATGTATAATGAAGTATTTATCTGCCTTTTCTTGTTTTAAAATGAAGTTATTGAACTACTTAAGTTTATTTTTTAAAAATATGCAAAGAGTATTAATATACACATTTTGTAAAAAAATTTAGAAAGGTATACATATATACTGTGTGTGTGTGTGATATATATATAT